TAGTCAGCATCATCGTGGCCATGCTGAACATGGTCAAGATGATTGCCATGGTGATGCTGGCTGAAAGTACTATTGTGCTACTGCTGATGCGGATGTTTATGATCGTTTTATCGAACGTGGTGTTAATGGTGAGGGTGATGATGGTGAGGGTGATGGTGATGGTGAGGGTGATGCGGACTATGATGATGGTGCTGCGGTTGCCGCTCCTGATGCTGATGCCGACGCTGGACATGATGATGGTGATGCCGCTGATGACGATTGATGCGTAGTATGATGAGGATGTTAATGCCGATGATGATGAGGAGGATGCTGTTGATGAGGATGTGATGGTGATGGTGATGATGCTGATGATGATGATGCTGATGACGGTGGTGATGGTGACAACGACGATGGCGATGCGGAGGAGGCGCTTCAGGGTGCAGGTGATGATGTTGGTGATAGGTATGCTCATGCTGCTGATGATGATGCTGCTGAGGATGATGATGATGATGGTGATTATGCTGATGCCGATGCTGATGATGATGATGGTGATGAGGATGATGATGATGATGCGATTGATGCTGCAGATGCTGATGATGATGACGATGCTGATGCTGATGATGTTGGTGGTGGTGATGGTGATGCTGATGATGCTGATGCTGATGCTGGTGATGATGATGATGATGATGATGATGATGATGATGATGATGATGATGATGATGATGACGGTGGTGGTGGTGGTGGTTCAAGTGGCGTTGATGCTGACAGCGGGGGAGTAGGGGCGGAGTAGGAAGATGAGGAGGAGGAACAGGAGAAGGATGAGGCGGGATGAAGGGGAGGTCTGCGGTGGAGGTGGAGGTGAGGGTGGCGGGGGGGGGGGGGGGGGTTGGAGGGGAGGGGGGGGGGGAACGGGTGTGGGGGGAGGCGGGAGAGAGGAGGGATGGGGAGGAGGAGAAGGAGGAGGAGGAGGACGGGGGGGGGAGGGGAGGGGGGGGGGGGGCGAGAGGTGGTGGAGGAGGAGGAGGAGAAGGAGGCCCATGAAGATGAGGATGGTGATGCTGATTATGGTGATGATTGCGATTCTGATTGGAGTGGTTGTTTGATTATGGTGATGCCGATACTGCTGGTGATGCTGATGCTGATGCTGATGCTGCTGACGATGATGATGATACTGATGATTTTGATGATGGGGATTGGGCATGGTGATTGTGATGGTGGTCATGGTGGTGATGATGATGATGATGTTGGTGAGGATGGGGATAATGATGATGGTGATGGTACCGCGGATTCATGAAGACGATGCTGATGATGATGTTGATGATGAAGATGACTATGAAGATGCTGATGGTGATGGTGGTATCGATGATGTTGATGATGCTGATGAGGCCCATGCTTATTACATTGTCATTGGCATGATGATGCTGGTGGTGATCGATGAATATGCGGGTCATTATGGCAATGAGGATGGGGACGATGATGGTGATGTTTAGCACGTCGTCGATTATGATGACGGTGCTGATTACAATCATAATGGTGTTGTTTCGGTTGGTGATGCTGATGGTGATAATGCCATTGTTCACGATGTTGATGATGGTGATGATGATGTTGATGATGATGAAGATGTGTATGATAATGATGTGGACTAAGCTGGTGCTGCTGATGATGCTGATGCTGCTACTGCTGTTGACGATGACGACAGCGATGCCGACGACGATGATTGTGGTGCTGCTGGTGGCAATGATAATGATGTTGATGATAATGAGGATGCCGATGCTGATTCCGATGATGGCAACGATGTTGATGATGGCAACGCTGATGATACGTATGCTGCTGATGCTGCTGGTGATGCCGATGTTGATTTTGATGCTAAGGATGCTGCGTATGATCATGATGGTGATGGTGATCGAATTGATGGAGCTGACGCTGATGATGCTGCAGCTGTTGCTGTTGATGATGTTGATGTCGTTGATGTCGATGCTGATGCTGCTGACCATGAGTATGCTGATGATGGTGTTTGTGATGTTGCGAATGATTAGGAGAATACTGATGCTGATGAAGATATGATGATGTAGATGATGAGAATGATGATGGTGGAAATGATGATGATGGGTGTGGTGCTGTTGATGGTGATGGTGATGATTATGCTGCTGCTGATGATGAGAATGATGCTGATGATGATGATGCTGATGATGATGCTGCTGATGCTGCTGATGATGATGATATGGTAAAACGGAGGAGGAAGAGACAGAGGAAGAGGAGGAGGAGGAAGGGGAGGAGGAGGAGGAAGAGGACCAAGAGGAAGAGGAGGAGGAGCAGGAGGAGGAGGAGGAGGAGGACGAGGAAACGGAGAAGGAGGAGGAACAGGAGGAGCAGGATGGGGAGGTGTGGGAGGTGGGGGGGGGGATAGGGGGAGCGGGGGGGGGAGGGGGAGGGGGGAGGGGGACGGGGAGGGGAGGGGGAGGGGACGGGGGAGGGGGAGGAACGGCGGAGGAGTGGGAGGGTCGGTGGAGCAGGGGGAGGATGGGCGGAGAGGAGGAGGAGGAGAAGGAGGAGGAGGAGGAGGAGGAGGAGGAGGAGGAGGAGGAGGTGGGGCCACGAAACGTGTGAGGGGTGTGCCGAAACGAGGGTGACGCCTACATGCGAACTGTGCCTCTGGGGCCTCAGGTGGAGCTCCCCATGAGGCCACGAAACGTGTGAGGGGTGTGCCGAAACGAGGGTGTCGCCCGCATGCGAACTGTGCCACTTGGGCCTTAGGTGGACCTCCCCATGGGGCAATGAAGTGAGGGGAGTGCCTGAGCTCATCGCGATGATGGTGTTGATGACGGCGATGATTATTTAGATGATAGTGATGATGACGGCCATGATGATGATGTTGATTATGACGATGTTGATGAGGATGATGATGCTGATGCTGATGCTGATGCTGATGCTGATGATGCTGATGATGATGATGATGATGAATAATTTTACGATGCTGATGCTGATGGCGGTGGTGATGGTGATGCTGATGATGATGATGATGACGATGCTGGTGATGGTGATGATGACGGTCATGATGATGATGGCGATGGTGATGGCGATGATGATGTTGGTGGTGATGATGATGGTGTTGACGATGATGCGAGGAGGAGAGAGGGGGCAGCGGGAGGAATGACGCGGGGCGCTGTGTCTTCAAACCGAAGACCCAACACCACAGGATGGTTGGGGAAAGGGGGAAGTGAGACAACGAGAGAAAGAGAGAGAGAGAGAGCGCCAATAGAGAAGATATGAATCGATCGGTCTATACACAGAGAGAGGCAGAGAGAGAGAGGCATACACATATATACATATATATGTACATGAAGAGAGAGGGAGAGAGAACGAGAGAACAACGACAGAGAGAGAGAGAGAGAGATGAAGAAAGAAGGAAGAAGGACACCTTGCGATCCGACGCTGCACACACAAGTGCAACGTCGCGAAACAAAACGACCTGAGCCCCAGACCCCATTTTTCAGCGCACTGTTCGATCCAGATCCATCCGTGATGGTCCCGGTGCCCGAAACCAGGCGAAAGCGTCCAGTGTAAGAAGTAGAACGCCCAGGATCTCAAGGAAGGATTGCCCTGACTTCGGAACCGCCGCACCTTTGGCGATTTCGTAAGTGGGGCGGCAATCTCGCAGTTCTCAACGCTCATTTGATGTCGATGTCAGAACATACTTCTGCGGAAGATCATCCTGATTGTTCTGATTTTGATTTCGTTTGGGTTCGCATAGGTCGGGGAGCATTTCGAACACACTTGCAAGTGGGGAGATCAATCCGAGCACGGTGGATCTGACGTCAGAGGAGGCGCCTTCCACGCCCGGCTCCTGCCAGCAACTGCAGCAACAACATCGGGACGCTCGGATCCCACGAGTCCTCGTCGCCGTCCTCGTCGTCGTCGTCCTCGTCAACCTCGTCCTCGTCGCCGTCCTCGGCCTCGGCCTCGTGCTCGTCGTCGCCGCCGCCGCCGTCGTCCTCGTCCTCGTCGCCGTCCTCGTCGCCGTCCATGTCGTTGTCCTCGTCCTCGTCCTCGGGCGCCGGCGGCGGCGCCCTCTGCGCCCCATTGCCCACCGCAGCAGGCAGCGGGGAGGCGCGGCCGCCCTCGCGGCCGCGGCCGCGCCGCGGCCTACCCCCGGCGGGCCCCGGCTGCCCCCCGCCGCGCGGCCCTTTCCCTGGGGTCCCCAAACGGGGTGGTGACCACACCGTGTTTACCAGTGTGAAACATTCTGGATGCCCAACAGCAGTTCCTGTTCATTTTGAACAGGACTCGCTGTCCGCGCCGCCGCGGCCTGTGTTCATTTGAGACAGAAGGCCGCCTGCCCAACAGCGGCCGCTGTTGGTTCGGGACAACATTTGTTGTTGGGCGTGTTGCCCATTCTTTCGGCACCCATTTCGGGTGTCCAAAAAGATATCCCTATCCCTATGTTTGACATCACCTCGCCTCGGTGCCGATCTCAAGGATTCCCTCAGTTCTTCAGGGCCTGTCCCTAAGATTGTCCTCGCTTTGGGCTCGCCCCTCTTAGGGATAGGGATAAGCTCGAGGCTAGTTGAGGAGGAGGAGGAGGAGGAGGAGGAGGAGGAGGAGGAGGAGGAGTTACGTGTGGTGAGTCGGTGACCGCACGGCTTTGGGGCTCGGGCCGTCCTCCGAGGACGCCTCGGGCGGCTGGGGCCTCCGGGGCCCCAGGGCCGTGCGCACGACGGGCCGTGCGCTGAGGGCTTGGGGGAGGGCGAGGTCGCCGCACGGTCCGCCACCGCACCGTAGGAGGGGGAGGAGGAGGGGAGGAGGAGGCGGAGGAGGGGGATGAGGCGGAGGAAGGAGGAGGGAGGGAGGGAGGGACGAGGGGAGGAGGAGGAGGAGGGGGAGGAGGGGGAGAGGAGGGGGAGGAGGGAGGAGGAGGAAGGGGGAGGAGCGAGGAGGAGGGAGGAGAGGAGGAGGAGGGAGGAGGAGGAGGAGGAGGAGGTCACCGCACGGTCTGTCACCGCACCGTTTCGAGACCCCAAGCCTGCGCGCGGGCATGGAGGCGGTGGCGCTCGGGGGCGCGGCTCCCGGGCGAGCCGCGCGGGCCCCGGCGGCCGGCGGCGGCCACGGCGACGCCCTCGCGAGGCGGCGGCGCCGCCGAGGGGGCAAAGCGTGGAGTCGGGCACCTCCCTCCCACAGGAGGACGGCTCGAGGAGAGTCGGGCATCCGTCCGGGGACGCTGTTCCTATCAGTGTTTTGTGATTCTCGGTAGTCCCCAAACGTGGTGGTGACAACACCTGGCGGTGAGTCTCGGGCGATTTGGTGTCACCACCCGGTTTGGGGACTCGTGCGGTTTTCCGAGGATGTCCCGAACACTGGTGGGGCCAGGAGTCACGAAACCCGGTGGTGACCCCCCGTGTCCCCAAACCCAGCGGTGACCTTCTTGGGGGTTCCAGGTCGCCACCTGGTATCTCACCACCCGGTTTGGGGGTTCCCAAGATTCGTGGTCGAGTTTGGGCTGCTGCTTGTTTCTCCTTCGAAGTCCGTCTGTGGGAGGACGTGCCCGACCTGCAGCAGAAGCGGCGGCACGGGGGCACGAGCCCCCGGAGCTCCGCGAGGGATGTTTCTCGTTGAGAATATGCTCGTTGCGGGGCACTTTCCTGGAGCCCACCTGTGTACTCCAGATGTCGTAATAAAAGGGAGGGGGTCTGGACCCTCCAAGACAAGCCACTTCAGACCCCCCCCCGTGGGAGAACCCTCCCAAACACCGTCCCCAGACCCCCCCAGGCCCTCCAAGATAGCCTGGAAGAGACCCCCCCCCGAAATGGGACCCCCCTCCCTTTATTACGAAATCTGGAGTAGGCCTCCTGGATGGGGTTTGAGTGAATAGGGTCCGAGGATCGCGCCGTATCGCCAATGCATCGGCGATGCGGCTCGATGTGGAGCCCGATTTTTCCCACGCTGGCGTGGCGTCACCGATGCATCGCCGACGTCGTCGATGCATCGCCGATGCAGCGCCGATGCACCGCCGGTGCATCGCCGATGTATCGGCGATGCGGCGAGATCCTGCGACCCCGTCAACTCGGACCCCATCTAGGGGGCTGCTAACCTACAGTCAACGCGCCTAGTAAGGACGCGCGCCTTCATCTAGGGTACCCTTGTGTCCTTGCCTCTGAGGCCCGTCCTTGCCATTCTCACTGGTCGCCCGCCGCCCTTAAAAAAACCCACATCGGCCTCCAGGGGTCTTGCGTCCTTATCACCCTACTTACTATACGTTTTCACTGTAACAGATCTGCTCCACTCCAGTTCGACTCCAGGTCGACTCCGGGAGACTCCGGGTCGACTCCAAGCTAGGAGGCTTCTAGGAGGCTAGGAGGCTCGACTCCGGACCCCATCTAGGAGGCTTCTGACCTAACAGATTTGCTCCACTCCAGTTCGACTCCAGTCCGGCTCCGGGTCGACTCGGGGTCGACTCCAGGCGACGGAGCTTCGACGCAGCTCTTCGACGCACGAGTGGAGCCGGTGGCTCCGGGAAGGTCCCCAAGAATGAGCATCCAATCTCTTGGCCACGAGTAGGATTCGAGTGTGTGTGTATTTATATCTATATATATGGACATATACATACAAACAGACACACACATATGCATGCACAAATATATACATGCATACATGCATAAACACATACATGCATACGTACATACATACATATACAACTATGCACAACCATATATCGACGTAAGGCGGCGGGCTTTGTGGGCCTCGTGGTGCCTTCAATAATTAGCGGCTGCGCCTCGCCGGCGGCGGGTCAGCGCCCCGCGCGCCCGCGAGGGGCAGCGGTGCGCGCGAGCAGCCCTTCGCAGACCGCCCGCGCCAGCGCTCGAGTGCTGGGCACAGTCAAACACCCCAATAAGGACGCGCGGCTTTGCTCAGGGTGCCCTTGCGTCCTTGCTCTTCCTTGCTCTTGCGTCCTTGGGGTGTTCGTCGTCCGCCGCCCCAGAAAAATCCCAACCTCGGCTTCCAAGGGTCTTGCGCCCTTGCCGCGCGTCCTTGTCAGGGGTTTTGACTGTAAGGGCGGTCGCGGAGGTCAGCCTAAGGATGCCTAAGGATGCCTTAGGAATCCCTAGGAACCCTTAGGATTCCATTGGATCCTAAGGCCGTTGCCACTGTGACATTGCGAAGGCGACTGCCACTGCGAGAACAGCAGAATTCTACAGCTGGATTCTCACCTGAACCTTGAGGGGAATGCTTCCAGATCTGCTTATACACCTCGCTGTGAGGTTGCTCTGCCTGATCAATTTAGGTTTTTGTTTTTTCGAGCCTGTTTTTGTTTGGATTCAGGCAAATTCACTTGCATGGCGTTCGCCCCCCCCCCCCCCCCTCGCACCTCTTCGAGCGAACACTAGCGTGCAGGTGCCTTTCGACTTGCGTGATTTCCGCGCCCCCCCCCCCCTGGGCTTGCTTCAGGCTCAGCCCCCCCCCCCCCGTCCATGCAAGTAAACTCGCCAGAGTCTAAAAAAACAGGCTCGAAGGGCGGCCGCGGAGGTCATCCACGGGGGGGTCCGCGGCGCTCGACGCGCGGCGCGCCTCCTCTTCCGGGGGGCGCCCGGGTCGCCCCCGCGCGGCCGCGCCAGAGAGACGGGCCTCGGCCCCGAGCTGACCTTACGGAGCAGCGCCGGGCGCTCCAGGAATGGCGCCTCCGGCGCCATTCCTGGAGCCTGTTTTTTTTTAGACTCTGGCAAGTTTATTGCATGGACGGGGGGGGGGCTGAGCCTGAAGCAAGCCGCAGACGACCCGTGGCGCGCGGAGCGCGCCAGGGGTCCAGCTAGAACGACGCGAAGAGCGGGACAAAGTCGGATCGGGAGAACTCGAAATCTCTGAGAATCGGCGGGCTTGGAGGATGTATTGGGCGCCGCGGCCGCTCCAGAGCGTTCCGGAACGCTCTGAGAGCGCTCCGGGACGCTCTGGAGCGATTTATCCCGATCCTAGCCCTGTTTTATGGCGGCGCCTCCGGCGCCATTCCTGGCGCGCTCCGCGCGCCAGGGGTCCAGCGTTAAGTCGGGCCTGTCCCCCTACAGGGGGGGTTTTCGACGAAAAATCGAGAATACCCCAAAAATAATCAAGCACTCATGCAAAAATAGTCTGGGGACTCTGTTTTGAATATGGTTTCACCTTTGGGGGGCATTTTTGTGGTATTTTATGTGTTTCGTCGAAAATCCCCCTGTCGGGGACACGCCCGACATAAGTCCAGCGCCGATGCAAAACATCCGCGCGGAGCTTCGAGAGATTGTGTGCTGTGCCTTGTCTGTCGGCCGCGTGCAGAGGAGGGTAGGGGGAGGGGGGGGAGGCTTCTCAGAAGCACCCAGCTTCTCAGGAGACGCGGGCCCTGTCTGCAATTAGATGCAATGCCCGCTCCTCCGCAGAAGCAGTTTCGTTCGAAGAAGCCTCCCCCACTCCCCCTCATTACCCCCTTCTGCGCGCCGCCAGGTGCGGGGCCTGCTTTCCACCACCACCGTGAGAGTTGGAGGAGGGAGAGGAGGAGGAGGAGGAGGAGGAGGAGAGAGAGGGGAGGAGGAGGAGGAGGAGGCGGAGGAGGAGGAGGAGGAGAGGAGGAGAGGAGGAGGAGGAGGAGGAGGAGAGGGAGGAGGGCGGAGGAGGAGGAGGAGGAGGAGGAGGAGGAGGAGGAGGAGGAGGAGGAGGAGGAGGAGGAGGAGGAGGAGGAGGAGGAGGAGAGGAGGAGGAGGAGGAGGAGGAGGAGAGGAGGAGGGAGGAGGGAGGAAGGGAGGAGGAGGAGGGAGGAGGGAGGAGGGAAGAGGAGGAGGAGGAGGCGTGAGGAGGAGGAGGAGGAGGGGAGGAGGAGGGCCGCCTCCCCCTTCCTACCCGCGGTGGTGGCGGTGGAACGGCAGGCCCGCCATGTCCTGCTCCCCGAGGCCAGGCCATGCCCCTGTCGCCCGCGTGGAGGCCCCAGCCCTCTGGCGGAACGGCCTCTCCTCGCTCCGGGCGCCCTCCTGCGCGTGCCATGGCTCCCGCTCGCCTCCCGGCGGGCCAGCCTCTCGCCACGGCCGGGGTCGCCTCGCGGTTCTGCTCCTCCTCCGCCTCCTCCCCCTCCTCCTCCTCTCCTCCTCCTACTCCTCCTCCTCCTCTTCTACTCCTCCTACTCCTCCTACTCCTCATACTCCTCCTTACTCCTCCTCTTCCCTCCTACCCTCTCTCCTCCTCCTCCTTTCCTCCTCCTCCTCCTCCTCCTCTGCATCCTCCTCCTCCTCCTGCCTCCTCCTCCTCCTCCTCCTCCTCCTCTCCTCCTTTCCTCCTCCTCCTTCCTCCTCCTCCTCCTCCTCCTCCTCCTCCTTCTCCCTCTTCCATTTCCGCCCCCCCCCCGTTCCTCCGCCTTCTCCGCCTCCTCCGCCTCCTCCTCCTCCTCCTCCTCCTCTTCATCCTCCTTCTTCGCCTCCTCCTCCTTCTCCTCCTCCTCCTCCTCCTCCTCCTTTTCCTCCTCCTCCTTGGGTCGCCTGCCGCCCCGGGGGAAACCGTGCAGGCGAGGGCGAGGTGCTTTTCTGGGCACCCGGATCGAGACTGCCCGTCCGCTGGAGGCTTGGGGAGGCCCTCGGGGAGCGCCGCGGCTGGAGTCGTCGACGTGATCGCGGACGCCGGGGCCGAATCTACCTCGGTCGCCCCCGCCCAGCGGCTCCCCTTGCGCGAGCCTCCAGGGCCCCTTTATATGAGCGGTGACGTTGGTGAACCATGACGGTGGCGCGCCCGAGGGCACGGCGGCCGCCGGTCGAGGCGTTCTCTCGTGTGCTTCGCCCTCTCCAGGGACACATGATTCCAGTCCTGGTTGGCAGTGTCCTGGCCAGGGGAGGGCCTGGAGACTGGACCGCGCTCTGGGCATCGCGCCCCATACTTGTAAGTCGGGCCTGTCCCTGCACAGGAGGAACATTCAGACATTATGAAATTTAGACGGAGGACGATGTTTTTTGATTCTTTTTGAACCACTTTTTGAAAACATTTGCTCGTTGCTGTTCCTTCAAAGCTCCCCCTTGTAGGGGGACATGCCCGACCGAACCCTACCTGGAGTGGCTCCACTCGCAGCAGTCAACTCTGCGGCACCAGAGGAGCCAAGGGATCGGGGGCGGACAGAACCCCCAACAGTGACACGTCGATTAGTGAATTGTCCGTTTTCGGTTTTCGTGAGGGCGCCGCGGCCGTTATTTTCCAGGCTTGCGCCCGCCAGGTTTGGGCCCGAAGTCGTTTTCACTAAACCACGTTTTACTAAAGGGAGGTTTGTACATCCCTGAAGGGAGCCCTCGAGGGCGCGAAGTGTTCCTGCTCCGCGCGTCGCGGTTCGCGCTGGGGGGCGGCGCGAGGGCGCGGAAAGCTCCTGGCGCCTCGCGCTGCGCGCGGGGCGCTTGCGGCGCGAGACTCGGCGGCGCCCCTTTGAAGAGCTTCCTTGCGCCGCGGGTGCGGGCAATACTTTGTCCATACACCTTAGGCGATGCTTAAGAAAACTTAAATTTTCGGCCAGGGTCTCGATTATTCTTAATGTTTCAACGTAAATCCTAAGATTTTAATAGAAATTCTGGGCTTTGATTCAAATTCTGAGACTATGAATTTCTTAACCATGATTTCTTAAGCATTTCGCAGGGTGTACTCCAGATTTCGTAATAAAAGGGAGGGGGTCTCATTTCGGGGGGGGCCTCTTCCTGGCCATCCTGGAGGGCCTGGGGGGGTCTGGGGACGATGCTTTGGAGGGTTCTCCCACGGGGGGGGGGGTCTGAAACTTCTCGTCTGGGAGGGTTGAGACCCCCTCCCTTTTCTCACGACATCTGGAGTAGCCATTGCAGTATGGAGTTTCGGGCTCCCTTCCCCAGAAACCCGAGGCGCCCTGGGCGTGGAAGACGTTGCTCCCTGGGAGGCTAGGTCTTCACCCATGCCCGGTGCGCCTCGGCCCCGGGGCGCTTCTTCCAAGAGAGTTCCAGACGCACAGGATGCGGACATGAGTCTTGCCCGCAGTGAGGGGGGATGCCTGTGCCCGGGCGCCTGGGGAAGTGTCTCGCCCTGTGGGGTCACGTATGGTGGGCCTGTATTCCACCGCCACTACCAGAAGTTGGAGGGGGAGGGGGCCTCCCTCCTCCTCCTCTTCTTCCTCCTCCTCCTCCTCCTCTTCCTCCTTCCCCCCTCAAACTTATGGTGGTGGTAGTGGTGGAAAACAAGCCCATCATGGGGCACGTAGAGATGCAAACTTGCCAGCCGTCCTGGGACAGGTGCTCCCCCCCCCCCTGTGGCGGAGCAATTTCTGTTGTGACGTGAGGGTGTCGTTCGTCCCCTCGATCCCTTCGGAGGGCTGGATCGGCGGCGAGCGAGGGGGGGGAACGAGAAGGCGAAGGGCTTCTCAGAAGGCTCGAACTTCCCCCGGCCTTCTGAGAAGTTTTCTAGACCGTCCCCGAAGACAAGCAATGATTTCTCAGAAGGCGCGAGGGCTCCTGAGAAGTCCTGCCGCCTTCCGAGAAGGCCTTCTCCCTCGCGTGACCCCCCCCCTCGCCCGCCGCCGACAGCGTGGGAGCGCGAAGGTCTCACACTCTGCAGAGCGCAGAGCGCGATGTCTGGAGACCCAGATTCTGCCGCAACGCACGTGGGCCGAGTGGGGGCATGTCGGGAGCGGAAAAGAGGGGTGTGATGACTAGGGGGGGGTGGATTTCATGGCGCGGGCCATGATTTTCCTCAGATTTCATGGCGCCTCTTCTTATTTTATTACGTCCCAGGCCCCCCCGCTGGGCCGCGCACATGCCGCCGGTCATGATTTGCACCCCCCCCTCTTGGACACCCCCCTCTTGGCCGCTCCCGAGCATGAGCAGACCAGTCGGTGTCTTCCCGCTGCTCCTGTCGCTAGCCTTGAGTCGGGCATGTCCCTCTAATGGGGGGATATTCGAAGCCAGCCAAACATGGTCCGGGGACGATTTGTCTATTCTGTTTCACCATGTGTGCGCATGTGTTGGATTTCGTTTTATTCGTCATCCAACATCCGCCTGTAGGAGGACAGGCCCGACCCGACCCTAGCCCATGACCGTCCCTCTCCCCTCATATCCTCCGCCCCCCTCCTCCTCCTGAGGACAGCGAGGACGACATACACGAGGTGGTCGACGTGAGCAGCGACGAGGATCGAGCTGCTGGCGGTGTGGGCGGGGGAAGCAACCTCATACGGCGAGGCAAGTCGGTGGAGAGTTCTCTGTGCGCAGCACGGTGCGAAGAGGAGTCGGCTGGCTTGGGTCTTGTCGCGATAGGGTTAGGATACGGAAGGTGGGGTGATTGAGGACAGGGAAGGGGAGGAGCACACATGTGATAATTATCACGATGTTCTGTTGAAGGAGGGCAAGGACCTGGACTAGAAAGATGCAGACCACCAGGACCGAGGAGAGGGAAGAGTCGTAGGAGGAGGAAGAGGAGGGAGACGATAATAAGAGAGAGTAGTCAGAGGATGTTTATTCCTACTTCTTCTCTCATCCGCTTTCCCCTGTAGATGCAGTCCAAAGTCATACGTATTAAGGGTAAGAAGAAGTACCTTTTGCATGTTCGCTTTTTCGGTCCACCCTTAGGCGTTTTCGGGCGTTCAACTCCTCATCGCAAGTACTTACCCGTGGGCCGTTGAAAATTAGTAGTTCTTCCAACCCTCCTGCGTTGGGTACTCGTTTTGAATAGAGCACTGCGGTCTCCACCTCCCTCCTCAGGCCCTCCCTCTCCTCTCATCCCTCGTGCCTGCCTTCTACCCTATCTCCTATCTCGCAATCTCTGGGGGGGGCTCTGGGCGGGGGGCTGCGATCTGCGACACTGTCGCCACTTTCGAGATCTGCTGGGGGGTCAGCGGAGTGACGTCCCACACATGTTTAAATTAGACTTCGCCATCCTTGGGGGTTGCGATCTGCGACACTGTCGCCACTTTCGAGGGTTGCTGGGGGGTCCAGCGGAGTGACGTCCCACGCAGATTCAGATAAGACCTCGCCGTCTTGGTGGGGCTGCGATCTGCGAAACGGTCGCCACTTTCGATGGCTGGTGGGGGTCCGGCGGAGTGACGTCGTACGCAGAGCCAAACCAGACGTCGCCATCGTTGGGGAGTTGCGATCTGCGAAACGGTCGCCACTTTCGAGGGTTGCTGGGGGGTCCAGCGGAGTGACGTCCCACGCATATTCAAATTAGATATCGCCATCCCTGGGGGGCTGCGATCTGTGAAACGGTCGCCTCTTTCGAGGGCTGCTGGGGGGTCCAGCGGAGTGGCATCCGACCCATATTCAAAACTGAACTCGCCGTCCCCTGGGGGCTGCGATCTGCGCGAAACTATCGCCGCTTTCAAGGGTTGCTGGGGGGTCCAGCGGAGTGACGTCCCACACAGACTCAGATTAGACCTCGCCGTCCCCTTGGGGCTGCGATCTGCGAAGCTGTCGCCACTCTCGAGGGCTGCTGGGGGGGCCAGCGGAGTGACGTCCCACGAAGACTCAGATTAGACCTCGCCATCCCTGGGGGGCTGCGATCTGCGACATGGTCGCCACTCTCGAGGGCTGCTGGGGGGTCCAGCGGGGCGCTGTCGCGGGCCGCCCGCAGACCTTGCGTCGCGTTTTCGAGCGTTCGGCTCCCGCACTGGAAAGTGCAAGAAGGAAGCAGGGAGGCTGGCGGACGAGGTAGGCCTCGCTCGCTTCTTGCACACACTGCACGCGGGTGTGCTCAGTTTGGCCAGCGCCGCGGCCTCATGGCGCAGGCAACGCTGCATCTTCTGGAGCACTGCCGGCAGAAGCAGCACTCTTCGGCCTCCTGCCGTCGTTTTCGCCGTCGTCTTCTGCCCCTTTTGCCGCCTTCCCTCCGCCGCTGCCGCGCCGACGGGTCGGCCCCCCTCGCGCCCTTCTCCTGCTCTTCGTTTCCGCACTCATGTCCTCCTTGAGCCTGGGCCTTCGTTCATCGTCCTTTTGTTGTTGTCCTGGCCCATGCAGTTTGCGCAACATGTAACGGCGCCTGCACGATCCTTGTCCCTGCCACTCGATGTAGATGTGTTGGGTGCGTCGCCATGTTTTTGTTTGCGGGCGCCCAGGCCCCAGCTACTTCGGGCGCCTTCCCACTTCAGAAGTGGAGTGGTCTTCCCTCTTCCCTCCTCCTCGGGGGGCGGGAAGAAACCGAATCTGCCTCCAACGCCTTCCTACCCTATGGCTCCACCCACTTCTTCCAACCGGCGTCGGCACTGCCAATTTCTTAGACTGCTCGGGCAAGTCGGGGGCGGCCCAACCGACCCCTAGCAAACCATCCCCTCCCGTGACGTCCCCCCTCCGCCTCGCCCCTATGACGTGCGCACGCGGCCCGAGGGACGCCTGCGAGGCGAGGGGCACGCTTCGGAACAGGGCGGCTTCGGGCGAGCAGACCTATGCGCACACAACACACACAACACACACAACACACACAACACACACAACACACACAACACACACACACAACACACAACACACACACAACACACACAACACACACAACACACACAACACACACACAACACACACACAACACACACAACGCACACACAACACACACACAACACACACAACACACACAACACACACAACACACACACACACAACACACACACACAACACACACACAACACACACACACACACACGCACGCACGCACGCACGCACGCACGCACGCACAAACACACACACACACACATACACATACACATACACATACACATACACATACACATTCACATACACATACACCTACACACACACACCTACACACACATACACACATACACACATACACACATACACACACAGACACACAGACACACAGACACACAGACACACACACATACACACACATACACATACACAGACACATCCACACACACATACACATACACATACACACACATACACACACATACACATATTCACGCATACGCATACACACATACACATACACACACATACACACATACACACACACATACACACACATACACATACACACACATACACACATACACACATACACACACATACACATACACATACACACACATACACACATACACACACATACACACATACACACATACACACATACACACATACACACATACACACATACACACGTACACACATACACACATACACACATACACACATACACACATACACACACATACACATACACACATACAGACATACAGACATACACACATACACACATACACACATACACACATACACACATACACACATACACACACATACACACATACACACATACACACATACACACATACACACATACACACATACACACATACATACACACACATACGCACACACGCACGCACGCACGCACACGCACACACACACACTCAGGAGGGGAACAAAAACACACAGACACAATGAATCGTCGATTCCCAGGAAAACATGGGGAAATATGGGAAGTGGGGGGGAAGACAAAAACCCAGGAAATATCAGAAAATAGGGGGAACATATTTATTTGCGTGTGTGTGTTTATTTGTGTGTTTGTGGGCCCCCTCACACACACAAACACACACACACACACACACACACCGATCCTGGCCAGGCCCGTCCTGGGACCCAGGATCGGTGCAGCTGCTTCCCTGGCCGAGCCCCGCTGGGGCGCACGCACAGATCCTGGGCTCAGGGTCGGGCCTGGCCAGAGCCAGCGCGTGCGCACTGACAGAGTTTCTGCCGCCGCGTGGTCCGCTCAAGATGAAACACAACTGCCTAAGAACAAACCACTTTTTTCCACTTGCGCCAGAGATCAACACATGAACTTTCACGGATGTGGGTGGGCCTAGCCCGGTTGAGCGCCACTTAGCGTCCTGGAGATTTACTTCAAGACACCCACTGAACCACAAAGGCTACGGAATTACTGCTTGCAATGAGAGTTTCTGCCTCCTCGTGGGCCGCGGGGGGTCGGCCGGGCCGCGCCCGAGACGGCCGAGCCGAGCGCGCCGAGGCCTCGCAGGCGTGCCTCCCGGGCGCCCGCGGGCCTCCCCCCCCCCCTCCTCTGGGGGGGGAGGAGGCCCGGAGCCCCCAGTGGGACCGCCCGCATGCGTCCCCCACGGGGAGCTCCACCGAAGCCTCCAGTGGGATCGCCCGAATGCAGGACGGAACAAAAACACACAGACACAATGAATTGTCGATTCCCAGGAAGATATGCAAAAATATGGGAAGTGTGGGGGAAGACGAAAACCCCAAAAACATTTAAGAATATGGGGGATCCTCTTATGTGTGTGTATTTATTTGTGTGTCCCAGGGCCCCTTCACGCATAGGCAGTTCCAGTTAGTGGAACGGGGCGGGGGGGGGCGTCCCCCAGTACACATCCCTACACGCCGGTCGTTGGAAGTACGTCTTTTTGGATGCCCTAATCCTAATCTACTTTAGGCGCCTTCCTACTTCAAGAGTCGAGCGGTTTTCCTTCTCTTCTTTCCTCCTCTTCAGGGGGCGGGCGGAAGTCCAATCTACGTCCAACGCCTTCCCACCTCATGTTTCTGCCCACTTCTTCCGACCGGCGTGTAAACCAGGTTTCACCAAGCCCGGTTCTGCCGACGCCCGACTGCCATGCTCGCCTTCTTCTTATCGGGGGCGGAAAAGAGGGGGGTGATGACTGAGGGGGGGTGGATATCATGGCGCGGGCCATGATATCTCCTCAGATTTCATGGCGCCTCTTCTTATTTCATTACGTCCCTTGCCCCCCCGCTGGGCCGCGCACATGCCGCCGGTCATGATTTGCACCCCCCCCTCTTGGACACCCCCCTCTTGGCCGCTCCCGACTCCCTGCTCTCCGCCCATCACCCCTCGCATTCCCCTCACCCCCATCGCCCTCTTGTGCCTTACTCCGACCGACCGTGCCTCCTCCCCTCTCCGTGCCCCGTGCCCCCCCCTAGCTTAGTCCGACCGACCGTCCCCCCCCCTTTCTCGCCCTGTCCTCGGCCCATCCCCCCTCCTCCTCCTCCTCCTCCCCCTCTTGGACACCCCCCTCTTGGCCGCTCCCGATTCTTCTCATGCTTGCTCTCCCCCCCCCAGGACGGAGTCCAGGTGCGCGCGGGCGCTCCCCCGGTGCGCTTCCACGGCTACCGGCGGGGCAGGGAGCTCGGCAGGGGCGCGACGGGCAAGGCGCGCCCCCGGGGGAACATCCTCGGCGTCGCCCCGGGCGGCCCTCCCTCCAGGCTCAAGAGGGGGGCGTGTGGGGGGGCTCTCCGAAGGGCTTATCCTCCTCCTCCTCCTCCTCCTCCTCCTCCTGCTCCTCCTCCTCCTCCTCCTCCTCCTCCTCCTCCTCCTCCTCCTCCTCCTCCTCCTCCTCCTCCCCCTCTCCGTAGCCATTTTGGCTCAAGATGCCAGGTTCCCATTGGGGCCAAAACGGATACCGCTAGTCCGCGGCTGCTTTCACCCTTCACGGAGGTCCCTTGTTCCTCAGAGCGCGATCAGTGGCTCCAGTCAGAGGATTGCGCATCTGAGGCGAGGGGTTCGAGAGCCTCCAATCGTCCGCATCCATGGCGCCGGCGCCGTGGCACTCCCCGAAGCTGGACTGGATGTGCAAGTTCTGTTTACACAAGAAGTCTGGTCTTCCTCTTGCCAAGTGGGGCAGCAACGATCGCTGCTTCATGTGTCATGTTCATAAGTCCGCCAGTTCCAAGTGTGTGCGCCCAAGCAAATCGCCTTCCTTCAGCGTGCCTGGAGGCAAGGACAAAGGTGCTTTCAGCAAGCTGGTGCGTCGCCTCGAGGAGCTTGGGAAGGAGAACGCCACCCTCAAAGGCGGGGATGGTGGTGCAGGGCCGCAGCAGTCAGACACCACCAACGAGCCAGCTGAACTTCGTGAGGATACCGATGCGCTCGCCAAGCATATCCAGTGGCTGGAGACGGCTAAAGGGGAGTGGGCAAAAGGCCGCCTTGGCCTCAGCCCAGTCACAGTTGGAAGCTGCCAGGGCCAAGCTTCACGAGAACAAGCCCCTGGGCACGAAGATTAGCGTACTTCCGAGGAGAGTGGCGCAAGCCCGTAAGCAGAAGGAGAGGGCCATCGCAGATCGTGCAGTGGCACAAGCAGCTCTGGAATCAGCCCAGAAGGCGTTGGCAGATGCCGACGCCCTCATCACCGAGAAGAATCAGGCCTACGAGAAGCTGGAGATGGAGCTGTCAGACCTCGCCCAGAAGGACACGGACTCAGTCGAGATGGTCGTCGACGAGGTCAAGCTTGAGGATGTTCTCTCAAGTATGGAAGGTATCAGTGACCCGAAGAAGGCTGCCCCAGCGCTGGTGGCAGCTCTCAGGGCTGGAGGGGGGGTCGGACTACTCGCAGAGCCAGCTCGGATTCCACGTCGAGGACATGCCCCCTGGGAGCCTGACACAAAAGACATCGAAGCTCTTCGAGAACAGGTCAGAGAATATGTGGAGCCGACCGCGGAGGAAAACATTGTCAGAGCACGTGCGCGTTCCTTGGCAGCAGGAGGTTTTCATCCCTATTGATTGCTCCCTGCCGCGAATGTGGCAGACCGAGGGGGCAAGATTCATGAGTCAAAGTGCCGCGACAAGTTCGTCATCAAATATGGTGGGTTAGACTTTCCTGACAACTCAGAGCTTAGGCTGTCAGAGTTCAAAGGAGAACAAGACCCAATCGTCAAATCATTGGCAGAGTATACTACAGTCAGCAGCTGGGGTGAGAAGTCCAACGCCGACTTGGTTCAGCAGCTCAAGTGGGGTGCGGGTTCGCATCCGTCAAGTTCCATGCCAGTACCGACCACGTTGTCCTTGGTCACGTACAGCAGCAATGTCTGGAGCACGATGCAAGGTTTTTTGGAGTGGGCGGTGCTGGACAAAGCAGATCAGCCCGACCTCATTTTCGGCCAGGAGCACAGGCTGCGCAACGGGGGCCAGCTGAAGTCGGCACAAAGCTGGGCGCGAGAGCGCGGCTACAAGTTCCTGGACAGCGGGCGCGCCGTGACGGGGAAGAGGATCACGGAGACATCCAGTGGGGTAGGCTTCCTCACATCAGGTCACATTGCCAGCATCGAGCACCTCCCGAACAACGAGCTCGACAAAACCAGGCTCTTCTTCCAGCGTGTCATGCTGGGGGGATGCAGGTGCTGCTGGCCTCCATCTGCGCCATCTGCAGTGTGGGGGTGGCAGGCGACGTCGATTTGATTGCCTCGTTGCTCGAGGCATTGCGCGCAGCCTGCCTGCCATTCATCATAGCAGGAGATTTGGATTTTGAGGTGGAATCTTGCGGCAGAGACTCGTTTCTTCGGGCAGGTTTTCTCAGCCAGGTGCATGCAGAAGTTGTGCGCAGTGGAAAGCCAACGTGTCATGATTCACACTATGTTTTTTCCGTGATCAGTGATGTGCTGCTTTCTTTTGTCAAATCCTTTTCGGTTCTGGATGACACCCCCGCTGGGCCCCACAGGGCTGTTAAACTTGTCCTGGGGGGGCTTGGGGGCCAGAACTTCATTTACCGACGGGTCAAACCCGACCTATTTCCAATGCCTCAGTCGGGGCAACCTTTTGCCCCAGGAGACGTCTCGAGCTGGCCGGGCTTCGACCGGGAAGAGGGGGGGTCGGTGGATAGTCTGGCGCGACGCTGGTTTCAGTCTGCTGAGCTCCATTTATGCATGGTTTTGGGCATCCCAGTCTCGGAGAGGCCGCGTTACTGTGGAAGGGGGCTCGGGCGCCGTCTGGAAAAAGTCCCGCTTGCGTGTGAATGGTGAAAGAGCCTCCGCAGAAAGGCGCCCCCCCTTACTCAGAAGTGGCTCGGCATCAGGCGCCTAACTACGCAGTGGCTCCGCGCTTCAGACGCCACAGTCTCTGCCCAACAGGAGTCGAAGGCCAGTGCCGAGCGTCGTCTCAGAGAGTTCGGGGACGCGTGGGACACGGGTGGCGTGGCGGGTGTCGGAAGAGTTGGTTTCGAGATCAGCGACTGTGACTCCTTTTTGCAGCAGCTCGCGAATGATGGGCAGAAGGGAGACGCTTGTAAGTTTGTTCAAGACCAAGTGCTTGCGCACACGGCTGCAGATGCAGCCGCCGCCAGATCCAGCTGGAAAGACTTTTCGGAGCTTGCCTTTTTTTTCAAAATGGCGCTGGTTTGGCGCGCCGGTTTTCCAGGGGCCCCAGGGGCGCCGACCCATCTGATCAGGACTCCAGTGGGCTCCCAGTTGTAGGACATGCGGCCCTCCAGGCCGCGCTGGGTGCATGGGTGAGCGCGTGGTTTGTTCCTGAGCGCGAGAGTGAAGCTCACCCGCTCACCCGGTCGGTAGAGGATGCACCGCTGCGCCCAAGGATGGAGCTTCACAGTGTCAAGTCGGTGCTGCAGCCGTTCAAGGTGAAGACAGCGCTGTGGTGGGATTGTTTCCACCCGCGCTGGATAGAGCGTCTGCCTGTCGAGATGCTAGAGTCTCTCTCTGCGCTTCTGCACCTCTGGCAAGACAACCCAGAGGACACTGACATGATGCTAACAATTATTGTGTTCCTTGCGAAGCTCCTAGGAGGCGTGCGCCCCATAGGGCTTCTCCCTCTGTTCTGTCACACCTGGTCACGTCTGAGGCACTCGGTAGTGGCCAAATGGGAGGGCACCCTCGGGGGCAGTTTTTTTTGGGGCGCCTCGTCCGAAATATCGTGTGACAAATCGGCTTGGATTCACAACGTGCAGGCGAGTGTTGCCCCTGTTTTTAATTTTGTTAGCGCGAGTGCTTTTGTAGATCTCAGGAAATTCTCTGTTATGATCAGCCATTCAGAATTATTATGGTCTGCTAGGGGCACTGATTTTCCGATCAGGTTGTTGAAACCACTGCGCTGCATGCACAGAGGCCCTAGAGGGGCCACATGCCAGAGATCGACGTCAACTGAACCTCGAGCTAATGGAACAGTAATTGCAGGATGTTCTTGTGCAACAGGCCTGGCTAAACGGATGACCATCGCGACGCTGCGGCGCATATGGGGTCAGATGTCCCACGGTGCGGATCAAGAACCTCATCGACGACCTAAGCCTCCACGCTATCGGAGGCAGACATGCAGTCACCATGGGAATGAGATATGCCCTGAACAACCTCCTCGTGGGCCTCCAGAAGAAGGCCCCCCCGATCTCTTGGGACAAGATGGGGGTTCTCTGCAGGGGCAAGGTGTTGTTTTTCGATGTTTGTGGGGGCCTCTCGGACCTCTGGCCAGAGAACATCCTTTTCTTGAAGCATGATCAGTACCGCAAGGGCTTGGGAGGTGATGCTGTGGACGGTCGCGATCGTAGAATTGGGACCCAGTTGAAAAGGATCCAGGAAGCCATGAAGAAGGGGGACCGCATCCAGGCCTTACAGGGCCTCGGGGTGACAAGATCGGCGGTCCACCGTGCTGGTGTTCTGTCCAGGAGCCTCTGGGGCTGCAGCATAGCAGGGGTCCCCAACGGGCGCGCCAAGCAGCTTCGGATGTCCTTCCTCAGCGCCGCGGGAAGGTTCAAACCAGAGGCCCATCTAGGCCTTGCATTGCAATTCCCAGAGAGCGGGTGGAGATCAGACCCGCTCGTTATCGCGACCGCAGATGCCACGCAGACGTTTGTCACCATTCTCGCGGCAGGCATGGTCTCCAGCAGCGTGGTAAATGGTCTCATCGCAGATGCACGGCCCTGGCTGAAAGAGCGCCACTCCTGGAACACAGTTACGAACCCTGTCTCAGCTCTAGCATTATCGCTTCACAGAATCGGGTGGACGCTTGAGGACGCAACTACAGTCCGAGATGATGAAGGCAGAGGCTGGGACACTTCCTATTATTCGGCAGAGCTCTTATCCGACTTGGTCAAGAAGGGAGTTCAGAGACAAATCAGCCGAGACGTTCTTAGAGGACTCCGCGGTGCAGATGAGGAACCAAGGCTGGGGGAGATCTCTGGGGGGCCGCTACAGGCGGCAACGAAGCCAAATAATCTTTCCCCACATGAGAGGCGATCTCTTCGCGGCCTCTGCTCAGGAGGACATTGGTGGTCCGCCAGAGTTGCTCGAGCTTTCCCAGACCAGAGTCACCTCTGCACGCGCTGTGGCATTGCGCCGGGAAATTTCAAAGATTTTTCTGCTGCGATGCATACGCAGGGCAAAGACAGAACTTGATTCCTGCTATCATTAGCAAAGCGGCATCTGAAATTAGCCGAGCGAGACCAGTGGTGCAAGAGAAGCTTGCGAGAGGAATCCTGCATAATCCAGGCCAGGCTGTTGCCAACCAGCCGCGTTCCTCAGCTTGCGACTTCATCGACGTCGACAACGCTGGAGTGGTGACAGTCGCCGACGGGTTCGTTTTCGTCGACGGCAGCGTTTTCCACACCAACATTCCCGAACTAAGAGTTGCAGGCTGGGCGGTGATTGCCTTCGATAGTGCTCGCCGTCGAGTCGGGCGGTTTCATGGTACAGTACCAAAGCAGATTGGGCCGCTACAGGTGGCGAAATATGGAGCAGATTACGCAATTTATCAAGCCAGTAGTTTGGTGCTCGGAACGTGGGCGCTTCTCTCAGATTGCAAGAGCTCGTTATCGTGCTGTTTCAACCTATCGTGGGCCTCGGGATCTAAGTGCGCACGGGCCCACATGTGGAAAATGGCAAGGCTGCGGGAACATGTTCGTGACCAATGTTTCATGCACGTCAAAGGTCACGCAACCGTGAACAACGTACGTGAAGGACACATATCGCACTTTCAAATGGATGGCAACGGGGAGGCGGACTCCTGGGCCAAACACGGAGCAAAGCAGCTTCGACCCCCAGAGCAGCAGATCAGGTTCGTGAACGTGTGCCGCAGATTTCATCGCCTTTTCCTGGAATGTCTGGCGAGATTCGACGTATGGTTCAGAAGAACAATTTCTGGATTACTGCTTTCCAGTGGCAGATGAGGATGACGAAAGGATCGAGCAAGCGTTGCGCGCGAAAGAAACGTCAACTGAGCATTGGTTTGCGGGCAAGCATGCTCTATGCGAATGCAAAGCTGTGGGTCTGGATTACAGTTTTGTGTTTTGATCGATGTGCTGCAAGTACTTCAACCTGGAGTCACATAAAGGTCTTGACGCGGTGTGCCCTGGGCGGTCGGTGACAGGACGTGGAGTTGAAAACACGCGGCACTTCGAGAATCTCAGACACCCGCAAAGTTCAAAGAAACAAGTGAAGCTGGACGGCCCTTGTCGACCATTGGCGGAGACAAGGAAGACCATGTGCAAGGTCAAACATTGGACATATCCTTTGGTTGACACGGTTGTGGAGAGAGCAGTGGCTGCACCACTTGCTGCAGCCTGCGGGCCCAAGTGCCTCGACGTGCCCACAATCTTACAAGGATATGGGCTTGCGTATGACGAGATTCAGGAGCTGGGTCAACCTGGACCCGATGCAGGCTCTTACGATGGCAGTGATGACGGACTCTTTGGTTGACAGCAGGGCCGCATCAGGCTCGGCTTTCAAATCCTGCCTTGGGCAGGTTCACATGTCGCCAGGCAGGTGCAGGCCGGTCAGGTCCCTTGGGATTGCAGCGAGGCTGGCCCTTCGGCACCTTATGTGCTGGCCTGCGTCCAGCCAGTTTTGCAATGTGCGGCTCGAACATGCTCGAGCTGGACCACGTGTGGGTCGGCACTTCCCTCGCCTTCAGTGTCCACCTGTGCTCGCTGGGCCACCTGGGGGTCGGCCCCGCCGTGCTGTCGCTGGGCGTGCTGCGCGTGGAGTTCCACGTCCTGGCAGGCGTCGTGCTCGTGAGCACGGGCCTGCCGCAAGCCCCGTGCCCCCTGGCCGCTCGGCCACCTTGCCAGGTCCGACTGGCTCCCCCGCCCCCGCCTCGGCGCTTGCAACGCGTTTCCTGGCCCTGTGGGCTCCGCGGTGCAGGTGCTGGGGCGGGGGTTGGGGGGGCTAGTGGGCCCTCCGCCCGCCGCCGCGGGCCGACCCAACCGCCTCTCGGCTGCTCGCTCGCTCCTCCTCCCCCTCCTCTTCTCCTCGTCCTCCTCTCTCCTCCTCCTCCTCCTCCTCCTCCTCCTCCTCCTCCTCCTCCCTCCTCCTCCTCCTCCTCCTCCTCCTCCTCCTCCTCCTCTTCCCCTCCTCCTCCTCCTCCTCCTCCTTTTCCTCCTCCTCCTCCTCCTCCCCTCCTCCTCCTCCCCCTCCCTCTTCCCTTTTCTCCTCCTCCTCCTCCTCCTCCTCATCCTCCTCCGCCTCCTCCTCCTCCCCCTCCTCTCCTCTTCTTCCTCCTCTTCCTAATCCTCCTCCTCCTTCTTCTCCCTCTCCTCTTATCCTTTTCTCCCCTTCTCCCCCTCCTCCTCCTCCTCCTCCTCCTCCTCCTCCTCCTCCTCCTCCTCCTCCTCGTCCCTCCTCCGCCTCTCTCCTCCTCCCCCTCCTCCTTTTCCTCCTCTTCCTCCTCCTTTCTCTTCCTCCTCCTGCTCCTCCGGCCTTCGGGAGGGCCCCTCGTCGCCACGCTTGGACGCCGATCGGAAAGCCGGTGCGCTTGGGCCCCGGGGCGGCTCTGGGGACCGATTTGAGCTGTTGTTGGCTCAACTTTCCCTCCTCCTCCTTCTCCTCCTCCTCCTCCTCCTCTTCTTCCTCCTCTTCCTCCTCCTCATCATCGCCTCCTCCTCCTCTTCCTCCTCCTCCTCCTCCTCCTCCTCCTCCTCCTTTTTCTCCTCCTCCTCCTCCTCCCCTCCTCCCTCCTGCTCCGCCTCCTCCTCCTTTTCCTCCTCCTCCTCCTCCTCCTTCTCCTCCTCCTCTCTCCTCCTCCTCTCTCCTCCCCCCTCTCCTCCTCCTCCTCCTCCTCCTCCTCCTCCTCCGCCTCCGCTCCGCCTCCGCCTCCGCCTCCTCTCCTCCGCCTCCTTCCTCCTCCTCCATCCTCCTCCTCCTTTCTCCTCCTCCTCCTCCTCCTCCTCCTTCTCCTCCTCCTCCTCCTCCTCCTCTCCTCCTCCTCCCTTCTCCTCCTCCCTTCTCCTCCTCCTTCTCTCCCTCCTCTCCTCCTCCTCCTCCTCCTCCTCCTCCTCCTCCTCCTCCTCCTCCTCCTCCTCCTCCTCAATCATCATCATCATCATCATCACATCATCATCATCATCATCAATCATCATCCGTCCTTCTCTTCATCCTCCTCCTCCTCCGCCTCCTCCCCCTCCTATTCCTCCTCCTCCTCTTCCCTCCTCTTCCTCCTCCTTCTCCTCCCTTCCTCCTCATCCTCCTCCTCCTCATCGTCCTCCTCCTCCTCCTTCCTCCTCCTCCTCTCTCCTCCTCCTCCTCCTCCTCCTCCTCATCGTCCTCCTCCTCCTCCTTCCTCCTCCTCCTCTCTCCTCCTCCTCCTCCTCCTCCTCGTCCCCTCCTCCTCATCCTTCTCCTCCTCCTTTCTCCTCCTCCTCCGGCCTTCGGGAGGGCCCCTCGTCGCCACGGCTGGACGCCGCTCGGAAAGCTGGTGCGCTTGGGCCCTTGGACGGCTCTGGGGACCGATTTGAGCTGTCGTTGGCTCAACTTGCCCTCCTCCGACGCACGGGGCCATGGGACCTCAGCCCCACCACCCCCACAATCTCAGCCACAGTTCGGGATAGGCCCCGCGAAACCCGAAGGGAGCATACACATTCATCGAGGGGGCCAAGGCCATGCCAGAAGGAGTTGGGATCGGCTGAGCGATGCCCAGCGCAGAGGGGGAGGGGGCCGAACTTTTTCGCCGTCGTTGGCCTCTCGTGGCCTTCCTTGCGCCCCAGGGCCGTCCAGGCACGACTTCCGGGACCGAGGGCTGCCATATGGAGAGGGTCTCGGGGTCTTCGTGGCCAGAAGGTCTTCGTCTGCAGCAAGAAGGGCTGCGCCGGCGGGCTTGCCGTGAAGACGGTGGACCTGCGCCGTATGCAGCTCAGCGCCAATGCGCAGCGCGAGCTCACGTCCCTGTCCCGCGAGGTTAGCATACTCAAGACGCTGCCACCGCACCCGAACATTGTACGGCTCATCGACGCGTTCGAGGAGGGGGACTGGTTTCTCCTCGTGCTGGAGCTCGTCGGCGGAGGCGACCTGTTCACTGCACTGACTGCGCGGGACCCCGCCAGGCTGTTGGAGCAGGAGTCGGCGTTTGTGTTCCTGCAGCTCGTGGACGGCCTCAGCTTCCTCCACCAGCGCAACGTCATCCATAGGTCCGGAGAGGAAAAAACACACACAGACACCATTCATTCTCGATTCCTCGGAACATATGGGAAAATATGGGAAGTGGGGGGGAGGACAGAAACCCAGAAAATATATGCGAGAAGAGGGGGAATCGTTTTTTATTTGTGTGGATTTCTTTGTGTGTCCTGGGGCCCCATTCAGCAGGGACGTCAAGCTGGAGAACGTGCTGGTCGCCTCGGAGCGGCGAGAGCCCCCGCTGGTGCTCTACGGCGTGAAGATCACGGACTTCGGGCTCTCGAAGGTCGTGGGCTCGGGCGTCAGCGAGGCCCGGTCGCTGGTGGGCACCAGGCCGTACACCGCTCCCGAGGTGGTCGGGATTGATGGGCCTGTTGTCCACCACCACCACCATAAGTTGGAGGGGGGGGGGTCCTCCTCCTCCTCCTCCTCCTCCTCCTCCTTCTCCTCCTCTTCCTCTTCCTCCTCCTCCTCCTCCTCCTCCTCCTCCTTCCCCCCTCCAACTTATGGTGGTGGTGGTGGAAAACAGGCCCATCAGGGATGCAATCCCAGGCCTGCTCCAGATTTCGTGAGAAAAAAGGGAGGGGGGTCTCATTTCGGGGGGGGGGGTCTCTTCCAGGCCATCCTGAGGGCCTGGGGGGGTCTGGGGACGATGTTTTGGAGGGTTCTCCCACGGGGGGGGTCTCAACCCTCCCGGGCGAGAAGTTTTGGACCCCCCCCCGTGGGAGAACCCTCCAGAGCATCGTCCCCAGACCCCCCCCCCCAGAGGCCCTCCGAGATAGCCTGGAAGAGACCCCCCCCCCGAAATGAGACCCCCCTCCCTTTATTACGAAATCTGGAGTACGCACACAGTAGGGGCACGCAGCTCAAGACACATATATGTTTTTCGCGTCAGGGTACCCTGGGCGCCTTCGCTCCTCGCGCTGCGCGGCGGCCTCCCGCGGCCGTCAAAGAGGCCGTTGCGTCAAGGGCTCCCATGAGGGCGCGAAGTTACTCGCGCTTCGCGCTTCGCGGTCCTCGTTCCTTCTCCCCCTCCTCCTCGTCCTCCTTTTCTCCCTTTGGGGGGGCGGCGCGAGGGCGCGAAGTTATTCGCGCTTCGCGGAGCGCGAAGCGCGAAGTTGGGAGCCCTAGTTGCGTTCAGGGTGCTCTGTGTTTTCCCTCAGGTGCCAGAAAATAGCCAAACATGATCAGAAACCAATCAGAACATAGCCAAGCACGCTCGAAAAATAATCGAACCGTCGCCCCAAGACTATTCCTTCACGATTCCTGAATACTCCTCCGGCAGAGGGGCGTGCCCGACGTCAGCCTACGCACATGTCAATTATCATGTTCCAGCGCCAGTGGGCGCAGAAGAGTCGGCGCTGCGCGCTGAGGTTGGACGTGAGAGGGTGGGCAGGCCTCCTCAGGAGCCGGCGGGGCTTCCGAGAAGCCCTCCGGCCTTCTGACACGCTTCCACGCGGCTTTGGAGAAGTTGGGAGCCCCCAAGCCAGGTGGTGGGATAACCAGGTGGTGACGTTGACTCCCCAAAAAGTCACCGCCGGGTTTTGGGGACACGGGGTCGCGGCCGGGTGTTGTGCCCCCTGCACCCACCGGCGTTCGGGACATCTTCGAAAAATCACGCGAGTCTCCAAACCAGGTGGTGACACCAAATCGCCCGAGACTCACCGCCGGGTGTTGTCACCATCACGTTTGGGGACCACGAAAGAAGGCTCGGAAGGCTTCCCAGAAGGCCGAAGGCCCTCTGAGCCTTCTGAGAAGGCCCGCCCAAGCTGCCGTCTCCCCCTGGCGCGCCCCCGGAAAAGAAGACAACCCGTCTGGGCAATCTAGTCTTGAGCTGTTTCTGCTTGCCCACACTTCTCCAGGTTGTCTGGGGCGGCTCTTACGACTTCAGATCCGACCTCTGGTGTCTCGGGGTGCTGCTGTACGTGCTGCTCGCAGGCCACTTCCCCTTCGACACCATCCCTGGTCATCAGGGGATCTGCACGAACGCAGCGCAATCGAGTACAGTCGGGGCCCTTGAAGAAGGAACCCTGTTCGTTGGGGAGGGGCTCCGTGTTCCTCGATTGTTTCGCAGCTTGCCTCAGATTTTCATCAGGTTTTCGATACGAGATCGAAGTTCAACTCATGGAAAATAGGGGCCTCGCTCCTCATTTGGTCGGGGGTGGACAGAACCCCCAACAGTGACACGTCTATTAGTGAATTGTCCGTTTTCGGTTCTCGAGGTGGCGCCGTGGCCGTTATTTTCCAGGCTTGCGCCCGCCAGGTTTGGGCCTCAGGTCGTTTTCACTAAACCACGTTTTACTAAAGGGGGGTCTGTCCATCCCCGATTTGGGGTTCCTTAGGTCAACGCCTCGACTGTGCTCCTCGCCTCTCTCTCTCCTGGAGAGGCCTGCGCCGCTCTGCCGACCTCCAGAGGGAGCCGCTGTGCGGCGTCCGGCCTCGCACGTCTTGTGCGTCGCGCCCAAGGCCGAGCTGCCTGCGTGCACTCGTTCAGAGCCCCGAATCATCAGGGGTAACTCGGGTCAGGGATAACTCGGGTTCGTTTCTCGGGAATCCAAACCCGAGTTACCCCGGACCCGAGTTACCCCGGATAACTCGGGCGTCCAGAGCCCCGAATCATCAGGGATAACTCGGGTCAGGGCTAACTCGGGTTCCTTTTCCGGGAATCCAAACCCGAGTTACCCCGGACCCGAGTTACCCCGGATAATTCGGGCGCCCACTTCGTTGCTGGTTCGTCCTCTTTCTCCGCGTCGGTTGCGGTGCTTCTCGGGGCGGCGTCTGGCGACTGTCCTTGAAGCTCCTGGTACCTTCTGGGGGCTTCTCGGGAGCCTCCTGGTGGCCTCTTGCGGGCATGCCCGGGGGGACTCGTGTGCCACCTTGTGGGGGGGGGGGGGGGCGGCCTGTTTGGGCCTCTTGGGGCCATCTTGGTCTTTCAGAACCCCGGAAAGGCGAGAATACAACAACATGTTCAAACTTATTTTGGCGATTCACACATTGTTGCCTCTTGAGGCATTATTTGGGGATCCTTTTGGAGCCCTAATAGAGGCGTCCTTGGGAGTTCTTGAAGCCTTGCTGGCGTGTTCGAGCCCTTCTCGAGCTACCTTGAAGTCGGGTCTGTCCCTCTACAGGAGGAATATTCAAGAATTGTAAAAAAATAGTCTGGGGACTTCTTTTGACTCGTTTTGGGCATCTTTTGAGTAATTTTTTGGTACTTCTTACTTTTCGTTGAAATCCCCCTGTGGGGGGACAGGCCCGACCTAAAGCTACCTTGGACGGCACAGTGGGCCTCTGGGGCGCCACGAAGGGTGCACTCTTGGAGCACCCGCGAGCTCTGGAGGCCCGTGCGCTGGGGGGAACTCGGCCGCCGCCCCCCCGGCCTCGTGAACGGGATCCGGGACCCCCTTGGGGAAGGGGAACGGGCGAGTAGGACACTCTACAGTCGGGGCTCTGAAGAAGGAACTCTTTTCGTTGGGGAGGGGCTCGGTGTTCCTTAGTTGTTATGCAGTTCGCCTTTGGTTTTGCTTAGGATTTCGATGGGAAATCGAAGTGGAACGTATGGGGAAAAGAGGCCTCGTTCCTTATTTAGGGTTCCTTAGGTCAACGCCCCTCCTGTAGCCTGCCCCGGCCTTGGGCAGGGTGGGTCTGGGCATGCTGGGCTGGCGGCGCGGGGAGGGGGCGCTCTCTCCCAGGAGCGGCTCGCCGCGGGGGGCCCCCTCTGCCCCGTCCTCGTCGGTCGTGTGGCGCCGGGTGTCGGCGCCGAGAGTGTCGGCGCCGAGAGTGCCGCTGCTTACCAGCCTCGAACGTATCTCTATCCCTAAGATGGGCACGCCAAAAGGCGATGACAATCGTCGGGGTCCGACCTCAAACAATAAGGGAACCCCTAATATTGGAAAGAGAGTGTTCTACCGCTGCTGGCGGAAAACCGGGGGGGGTCACTACTGGTTCGAACCCCTCCCCCCCCCCCCCCCTCCGGATCACGGAACCCCTCCCCCCCCCCTGGAAAAGGGGGGGGGGTCACGGTTCGAACCCTCCCCCCCCCCCCCCCGGGGGATCCGAAAACCGGGGGGGGTCACTACCGGTTCGAACCCCCCCCTCCCTCGAAAACCGAGTGGGGGTGCGGACAGTGGTGGGGACGGTGTTGGTGGGGACAGTGGTGAGGGGATAGCGGGACAGTGGTGGGGACAGTGGGACAGTGGGACAGTGGTGGGGACGGTAGTGGTGGGGACAGTGGTGGGGACAATGGTGGGAACAGGGGGGGACAGTGGACAGTGGTGGTGACGGTGGTGGTGGGGACAGTGGTGTGGGGACAATGGGAATGAGGTGGAAACAGTGGGACAGTGGAGGGTACAATGGTGGTGGGGACAGTGGTGAAGGCGGTGGCGAGGACGGCGGTGGGACAATGGGACAGAGGTACAGTGGGGACAGTGGTGGGGACAGTGGGGACAGTGGTGGGAACAGTGGGACAGCTCAGTGGGACAGCGGAGGAGTCAGTGGGACAGTGGGGACAGTGGGGATAGTCGGGCAGTGGTTGGGGCCGTGGAGACAGTGGGGAGAGTGGAACCGTGGTGGGAACAGTTCTGGGGACAGCGGGGACAGTGCGACAGTGGTGGGGCCACTGGTGGGGACAGTAGGGGCGGTGGTGGAACCAGTGGGGACAGCGGTGGTGAGGACAGTGGTGCTGGGAACACCAGTGGGGGATGTGATGCGGACGGTGGTGGGGACCGGGAGTCGTTTGCTGGCGGTGAGTGGGGTGGGGGGTGGGGGGGGGGGGGGTCGAACCGGTAGTGACCCCCCCCGGTTTTCCGGATCCGGAGGGGGGGGGGGGGGGGAGGGGTTCGAACCGGTAGTGACCCCCCCGGTTTTCGGGAGGGGGGGGGGGGGGGTGGGGGGGGGGGGGGGGGGGTGGGGGTGGGTGGGGGGGGGGGGGGGGAGGGGGGGGGGGGGGGGGGGGGGGGGGGTGGGTTTGGGGGGGGGGGGGGGGGGGGGGGGGGGGGGGAGGGGGCCAGCAGGGGGGGGGGGGGGGGGGGGGGGGGATTTTCGGAAGGGGGGGGGGGGGCGACCCCCCCGGGTTCCAGAGGAAAAGGTTGGTAATTTTCCACAGTAAAGCGGTGGTGGATCACGCTCTCTCTAATATTGGCATCGTGATGAGGAGATGCCCAGCATAGGGATAGGGATATGTTCCAGGCTGGTAAGTTGCCGAGTGTCGGTGCCGAGTGTCGGCGCCGAGTGTCGGCGCCGATCGTCGTTGACGCGGGGGGGTCCTAAAGAGCTGCCCCCCCAGACACACACACACAAGAGAGCACCACACATCGCAGACGCCCGTTCTCCCACAGCGAGCGGGGGTCGGCGGTTTAATCCCTCTGGCAAGATTCACGCCTTTTCGCGGTAGAGTTAAGACGGGCCTGTCCCTCCACAGGAGGAATATTCAAACATGGTCAAAACTAGTCCAGGGATGATGTTTCTAGTATTCTTGACCATTGTTGAGTATTTGTTTTGACTATTCTTTGGTTTTTCGTTCGAAATCCGGCTGTAGGGGGACATGTCCGACCTAACGGTAGAGTCTCCTTGCAGGTCAGCAGGCCGAGCTGGACCGCATCGCCGAGGGGCTGCGCGTCAGCGCAGCGGCGAGTTCAATGGTCTCTGGGCTCCTTCGGCTGGAACCGGAGCAGAGAATAAGCCTTCACGGTGTACGGGGCCATGCGTGGTTTCAAGACGACGGAGAGTCTCCAGAGAGGCAGCCGAAGCGCCCTCGTGCTGCTGCGGAGGCAGCAAGGGCAATGACATTACGACGCGTGCCCGGCAACATTTGCAATTTTGGCCCAGGCGCTGAAGTAAGGCCATGCTTCGCTCAGGAGTGGCGCTGGTGTCTGGGCATTTCCTCAGGTCTGGGTTTGACTGTCTCCTGACGTCGCTTTTGTCGGTAAGAACGGCGAGGAGCATATTGGGCCATCTTTCCGAAAAACAGCACGCAGGAAGCCGAAACGTGCACGAGGAATGGGCGTCCGAGCGATGGCGAGGTGTTCGTTGGCGAGGCTCGCCGGTACTAGGAGAACTCCTTCGTTCCTTACGGTGTGTGCTTCATTGCAGCACGGCTGCTGCCTTCAGGGCGTGCATCAGTTTGCTTGGTGTTTAGGTTAACGAACAATGACATAAACAGAAAAACTCGGAGGTCCGAGCGGATTTCTCGGATCGTCGTTGGACCCCCTCCTTGGCGCGCGGAGCGCGCCAGTGGCGGTGCCGGATGCGCCGCCAGGGTGCTTCAGCGCGGATCCGAGAAACCCGCGCGGACCAAGCAGTAACAAAAAACCAAACCAATCGTTCCCAGCTTATTTTTGAATCTTCCTCCTGTAGAGGGGCAGGCCCGACCTAACTTTAGGCGCGTGGATCAGCGACGGGTCCCGCTTCCGCGCAAAATCGCCGCGCTGCGTCGTCAAAGCAGGCAACACTGGCTCGATGTGTTTCGTGGGGCACCCTTTTCCGATCCGAGGATCCGGCGTCACCTGCGCGCCCGATCCTCGGATCCAGAATCCGTGTTAGCGTGCCCCGACCATAACAGCGTCCCCCCCCCGATTGGGTCGGACGGAAGGGGGAGCGGAGCGGAGCGGTGCGGCGCGGAGCGTCGCCCAGAGGGCGCCCCCTGAAGGGAACGGCGGGTGAGCCGGGGCGCCTCGGGTCTGAACTCGGAGCGCGGCCGAAGTGGGAGCCTTTCGTCCCCCCCATCGGGTCGGACGATGCAGCGCTTCTTCCGAGGGACGTTTCGGGTGGCGGAGGAGGAGGAGGAGGCGGAGGAGGAGGAGGCGGAGGAGCAGGAGGAGGAGGAGGAGGAGGAGGAGGAGCAGGAGCAGGAGGAGGAGGAAGAGAGGAGAGGAGGAGGAGGAGGAGGAAGGAGGAGGAGGAGGAGGAGGAGGAGGAGAGGAGGGAGGAGGAGGAGGGAGGAGGAGGAGAGGAGGAGGAGGAGGAGGAGGAGGAGGGGGGGTACGATGCTGGCCCCCCCCCGCCGGGCGCACTTCTCTCTCGATATACGCCTGCGGTTCTCGGCGGGGGCGCAGGCCAGGCCGATGCATCTCGTGGGGCTGGTTGGGTTCCCCCCCGTGACTTCGGGGCGATCGAGATGGGTACGGAAGCACTGGGCACAACGTCCAACAATCGATCGTTTTTCATTCATCGTTTTGCCGATCGGCGCGGGCCCTCGCACCCCCCCTCCTTCGCCCCCCCTCATGGAGTAGATCTTGGTTGTTTGTGGTACATTTTTCAAGCAGGTGGAGTCTTACCCAGGAGACGCACGGTTGCAAACAGTCGCACTAAGCAGAGGTCTGGAGCCAGACCCCCCTTGTTCCCACCTTCCGCCCAATGTCGAACCGCCGAATTAAAACACGCTCACCAGCAGTTCTTGTTCGTTCTGAACAGGGTTCATTGTCGGCGTCGCCGCGGTCGTTGTTCATTTGAGGCAGAAGGCCGCTGCCCAGCAGCGGCCGCTATCGGTTTTGACCAGGATTCGTTGTTGGGCATCGTGCCCATTCCCTTCGTACCCATCTCGGGCGTACAGATCACTGAGGGAGCCGAGAGATCCCCGATACGGGTACTCCGCGGACCTCTCCCTGAGAAAAAGACTCCGAGGCTCGCATGGCCTGAGGGTTCCCTTGCTGTTGTGCGGCCGCCTCCTTCTGGTAGACCCAGCAGGAGGTCCAGCGAAAAGAGGGTGGTGCAATAGGCTTGGTGCAGTAGATTTGTGGGGTTGCAATCGATCTGGGGCGTGCAGTATATTCCGATGCGCAGATGTTGGTCTTCGCGTGCAGCATATTATAGCTGCAATGCAGTGCAATCCAGATCTCTGGCGCAATACATGTGCAATACTATTGCCCCACATCTATTGCACCACCCCCTTTCAGCTGGACCCCATTTTGGGGTTAACCACATTCCCCCCGTCTCGCCCCTCCTGTATTTTCGCCGCGATGAGCTACTGACGCGTCCCGCCGTCGGCCCGACCGCTTGTTGGACCCAACTCGGCGCTGGAGCTCCCTCCTGACGCGCCGGAGGCTTCGCCAGGGGACTCCAGCGCCGATCCAAGAAATCCAAGTGGATGTCCGAAAGTATATGCTGATGTGTTTGTGTTGCTCCTCTCCCCCCCGTTCCCCCCCTGTTTCTCCCCCCCCGTTCCTTTACTGAGAATCCGTCTGCAGCTTCGGAGACGGCCGAAACCAGGCTTCTCAGAAGGCGCGAGGGCGTCCGAGAAGCCCCACTGCTGGGCCTGCCGCCAAACCGTGTCCCCACCCCTTTCCCGATCATACAAAAACAGACCCACTCACACACACATCCATCTATACATATACACACATGTATGCTTACACACACACATGCAATAACCATGCACGTGTACATATCTATACACACGGATGCCTTTATAGATGTACGTGCATGTATGAATGCATGCATGTATGTAAGCATGCATGTAAGACTGTATGCATGCATGCCTGCATGTAGATTGGCAGGTAGGTAAGTACGTAGGTAAGTACGTAGGTAGGCTTGATACATGCGTGTACGTACGTACGTATGTGTGCATGCATGCATGCTTGCATGCATGGATGTATGTATGTATGTACACAAGTACATTTATATAGTATGTATAGATGTGCGAATGTCTGTATGTGTATGCATGTATGTATGCATACATGCATGCATGCAGGTAGGTCGATAGGTAGTTGTGCATGTATGTGTGGAAGCATGTGTATATGTATGAACGAATGAATGAATTAATGCATGCATGTGTGCATGTGTGCATGCATGTATAAATGTGTTTACGTATGTTGTGTGCATGTATGTATGTGTGTATGCATGTATGCATGTATGCGTGTCTGTATGCCTGTACCTATGTATGCACGTCTGTATGCATGTATGTATGTATGTATGTGTGTATGTGTGTATGCATGTTTGCTTGTGCGTACATGCACGTATGTACGTACGTACGTACGTACGTACGTACGTATGTATGTATGTATGTATGTATGTATGTATGTATGTATGTATGTATGTATGTATGTATCTATGTATGCAGGTATGTATGTATGTATGTATGTATGGCTGGTGTATGTATGTATGCCAACAGGTCGGGCGGTAGGTAGGTAGGTAGGTGGGTAGGTAAATCGCATGCATGTGTGTATGTGTGTATGTGTACGTGTGTTTGTATGAGTATAGGTATATGTGTGTCTGTCTATCTGTCTGTCTGTATGTATGAATGTACGTATGTATGCATGCCTGTCTGTCTGTATGTATGTATGTATGTATGTATGTATGTACGTATGCATGCATCTATGCATGCATGTACTCACGTAAATACACGAGCCCCTGAAGTGGGGAAAGAGGGGCATCCGGGTCCTTCGGACCACACGTGTTGGAAACCCCGGAGGTCATGCCGATTTCTCTCCGCGCCTTCCCCCGCCCCCGATTTTTCTCCGCGCCCTCCCTCCGAGCTGGACGAAAGGGGGGATAGGGAAAGGGGGGGGTACGAAATTTGCTGCACATAGCTGCTTTCGGCTCCATCGATGGGCCCATCGATCTCGATACCTGGCCGCCCCCGGCGCCGGGAGGCGCCGGGAAAATCAGCTACACGTGAGGCGATTCTCACCCCCCCCTTTGCTATCCCCCCCCTTTCGGCCCCCCCAGCATGCCTCATGTCAGGAGGGAACAAAAACACACAGACACAAAGAATCGTCGATCCCCCCCGACAATATGGGAACATATGGGACGTGGGGGGGGAAGGCAGAAACCCAGAAAATAGGGGAACTATGGGGAACCATTTTTACCTAACAGCTTGTTCTGATAGGTTTCTAGTGGTGTCAAAAGAGAGCAGCAGATGACTCCACAGGGGGGTCTGGGCGGGTGCCGGACAGGGTGCCGCAGAAGTCGTTTTAAGCCAACAGTCACACACTTCGTGCTCTTCGACCTCCCAGAACTCCATTCCCGGGCCACATTCTGAATGCCCGGAGCCAACTGTAGGCCACTTCGTGCTCTTCGACTTCCCAGAACTCCATTCCCGGGCCACATTTTGAATGCCCGGAGCCAACTGTAGGCCACTTCGTGGTCTTCGAGTTCCCAGAACTCCATTCCTGGGCATGATTTTGAATGCCCGGAGCCAACTGTAGGCCACTTCGTGTTCTTCGAGTTCCCAGAACTCCATTCCCGGGCCACATTTTGAATGCTGAGGCAGGCTGATGCTGAGGCTGAGGCAGGCTGAGGCTGAGGCAGGCTGAGGCTGATGGCCGAGGCTGAAGGCAGACTGAGGCTGAGGCTGAAGCAGGCTGAGGCTGAGGCTGAGGCAGGCTGAGGCTGAGGCTGAGGCAGGCTGATGCTGAGGCAGGCTGAGGCTGAGGCTGAGGCTGATGCAGGCTGAGGCTGAGGCAGGCTGAGGCTGAGGCTGAGGCTGAAGGCAGACTGAGGCTGAGGCTGAAGCAGGCTGAGGCTGAGGCTGAGGCAGGCTGAGGCTGAGGCTGAGGCTGAGGCTGAGGCTGAGGCAGGCTGAGGCTGAGGCTGAGGCTGAGGCTGAGGCTGTGACTGCGACTGCCGTTGCCACTGCGACTGTCATCGCGAATGCGACTACGACTGCGAGAACAGCAGAATTCTACAACTGGATTCTCATCTGAATCTTAAGGGGAATGCTTCCAGATATGCTCCTACACATCGCTGTTAGGTTGCTTTGCCGGGATCATATTCCTGTGTATTTCTTTGTGTGTGTCTTGGGGCCCTGAAGAAGGAATCCTTTTCGTTGGGG